CACAGATGACAAGGTTGCAGCCTAAAGACACGCGACACAGAATTGTGCAAGAGTTATGTTCTACCATATCTGTTCGGCTTCTGGAAAGATGTTTAAAACCTGCGATCTAGAAAGGTTCGCAGCTACGTTTAAATCTGTGGCTTAGATCTCGCAACCCCAATCATTGCGTTCGCGCCAAAACGTGTGCATTGGTCAGTACCTGCAGTAGAAACAACAAGAAACCAGCTTTTACTTCTATATCCTTACGAAACATAAGCTTGATAAATTTATCAGCACTTTTGATCCCGATGCGGCCAAATCTATTGAAGGTGGAGAACAGCCGTTTAAAGTACCTCCGCACAGCACGATAAAATGGCCACTAAAGACAAAAGCCTGCCAAAAGAGTCGGTTGTGCATTGGTGCACCGATCTGTTGAGTCTAATATGCTTCGTATGCAATTTATCGCTAGGTGTACTCTATATTTTTTTGCTCCTTTCCGTCTCACTACTATAGGCGTTAAATCCAGTGCCTTTGTCAATTTTAGCAGCCGCATGAATTTCGGCACTGGCTCAAAATCTGAGGGGAGGAAAGGACAAACGCTTGTTTTTCTGCAGTATCTCATTATTGCGCTCATCGTGAGCAAACGGTATATGCAACTACTGCACGTAATAGTGGTAGCATCTAAAAGGTTGACTTCTAGCCACCCGAAACTTACAGGACACTATTCTCCGGAATAGCCCAAATATTTGCAGGCTGATTGAGGGATCATCATTATCATCATCATCGACAGTATGACATCAGTGTTCAACACCAATGCTTCACTGCCGTACAACCATGATCTATTTGAAAGCCTTAGTGTAGAGAAACGAGTAAAGGTGCTAGCTTAACACGATCATTCCGAGGTGCCTACACCTCCAGACATTCACTCAGGCAGTCTGGATAGAAACTGGCAACCAGAACGCCACTGACACAGGTTGGCAGCCATATCTTGTAGTGTCTCCAACCAGGTACAGTGAGGATTGCGCGGTCCCTATCCTGGAAGGCGAGTAGCACCGACAGCACCCAAGCGTTTCGTGATCTCCTTCATACTCCTCTGCCAAGTCAAGGGTTGGCCACCACTCTGTTTACGCCACTTTGAGTTGGGCATGGAAAACAGCACTCTCTTCGGCAAACGATGGTTCGGTATACGTGACACATGTCTCAACCAACGCAGCTTCTGGTGCTTGACACATTCTTCAATGGAAGTACTCGTTGCACAACCGAAAACACGCTTTCTAACTGCCTCGTTAAGGATTCGCCGACACCAACCTACGCGAGCTATGGCTCTGAGACAACGATTGTCGAACACACGAAGGCGTCTCAGTTCCGCTGCTCGAAGAGTCCAAGTCTCATAACGATACAACAAAACAGCCCGTACTGTAGCTTGATAAACACGTCCCTTCAGATTCAGGGATAAACCATTCTGACGCCATAGGTGCCTCAAGTTAGCGAACGCGACCCGAGCCTTGCAGATTCGTGCATTCACCTCATCTGTCACACTACAATCAGAACCAATACAACATCCAAGATACTTAAAACGCTCCACAGATTCAAGTACCTCTCCCTGGATTGTAAGTGGCATGTTCAGTGACTGCACGCCCACAAGCATGACCTTACACTTTGTGGGTGCAAAGTGCATATCAAAGGACGGGATGACTTTGGTCAGTTCATCCAAGAATACTTGCGCCTTTTCCTCCTCTTCGAACATGACAACGATGTCGTCTGCATATTCCAGATCGACAAGGTTTTCTCCACAGGCTATTTGAACATCAGGGTTTAGGAGCCCCCAGCGTTCGTCTCATTATTTCATCGATCACAGAGTTAAAAAGGAATGGAGAGAGTGCGCATCCCTGACGGACCTCGCTTTGTGTACGGAAGCTCTTGAAGAGCTCTCCGGGCACTGCCAACCGAGTCGAATGCACCTCGTAAATCCAGGAATTCTGGAATCGTGGGTCGCTTATACGTATGGCTTTGTTCTAGTACCTGAAGCAGTATGAAGATTTGGTCAGCGCAACCCCTACCAGGCCGGAATCCCGCTTGCTGCTCTCGAGTCAGTCTCTCGCGGGCCGCCGTAGGGCGACGGGTTACATTTGAATCTAACGGTCTCGTTACAACCGGGGTCAAGCTGATCCCCCTGTGGTTACCACACTCACTACGCGCCCCTATTTTGAAAATGGGCACTATGACCGATTCTTCCCAGTTGTCTGGAGCAGGCTCCTTTTCCCAAATGCAAGCAAACAGATCGGACAGGCGCTGACTGAGGACTTCACCCCCGTCTTTGAACAGTGCGGGTGGAAGTTCATCCGGACCAGGAGATCGATGGTGCTTGAGAGGACATACGCAGTCGTAAACCTCCGAGCCCGTAGGTGGTTCCATGTTCACCGTCCAGGGTTCTACATCACCTGTAGGCTCTAAGTGAGTGCCGGCTGTTGGCCCTATCGAGGGATGCTGCCCATATAATCAACGGAACACTAAATTTGCCACGCAGGACACTGACTGTCGGTCCTAGAAGCAAGCCGTAATTTGTTTCCATGCATAGTGTCTTATAGCCCTAGATGTCGGAAAACGAAGGAGGAGCATACACGCGTGTTGTCAACGACCATTTGAGTTAGTTAGTCACAGCCTCCTATAAATCGCTGCTTTGTCCAATCAAGATTGGGTGTGGCTCATTAATAGTATGCCCCGTTTGTGCACCTCTGTCGTTGAAAGAAGATTCAACTGTTCATGTTTTTCGTAAGCGGATCTCCGATAAATTTGAAGGGAATGGGTATGCTTGTACAGTGTTTCGCGAAACATGCATTGTGATGCTTCTAGTCTACGGTTTTATCCAAAACGCCGAGCTCACTGCCAAGCTTCAATGAGCTTGTCCATTTTGTACAAAGTACACTCAACACCTGAGGAGCGGAATCGCGAGGGGCCCCTATCAGAAAGCATCAAAGGACAATATTCGAAGCTTCCCCTGTCACATATGGTCAGCGTGGTCAAGCGCACAATGTCCGGGAGTTCTGGAGTTGCTCTTATATTCATTTCAAGTGCTTCGTTAGGTGCTGTGAAAAGGCAAATCAGAATCGGAAGTGAATAAGATATCGAACATACCGGAAAAGGGATCAGTGGATAAGACCATTCTTAGGTAGTGAGAAAATAGAAGCTGTGAAAAAGAAGCACTGAGAAATGATGAAAAATTTCCAAGAAGCCATTCACAATACCGGGATTAGTGAAATCAAAAACCACAAGCGAGGCAATTATAAAGTCTTCGAGATTTGACATTCGTGTGACACATTCGTTCATATTCAGCGCGTAACCACTAACTCTGCTAAATGTTGTGGTTGCACAACAGACCTTTTTCACTGTTTTCGATACATGAAAGAAAGTTTTCAGTTGTCTGCGCACAAGCTTACACGTTTTTGACAGGCTTTCTGATACTAAGCGTTTGGCCTAAACTAAATGACTGCCCGAAATAGCGCTTTGATCGATCTAGTTAGTGCCATTGTTCTCTAGAATCGAGGCTGTTGTTGAAAGTTACCCAGATGTTCGGGTTGAATCAGAACTCGAGGCGGCGAGTGGCCTCATCACCCTACTCAAACACAATATTCTTAAAATCTCGTTCCTCGTGGCTAATATTTTATCCCTCACGATGAGAGCATACCGCGTTTCATCCTCACCTCAAAGTCGGGCTCGGTTTAGATACTTCCATCTACCGAAAAATCCAGCAAGCCCTATTGAGAACCACAGAACTTAGGTATTGGTTCAAAAGTACAAGGGTTATGAGTGGAATGGGGCCATGGTTGGTAATCTGAAAGAAAAATTATGATGGGAGTAGATCATGGGGTTTTTCGCTGCAGATAGATGGAAGGGATAGAAAACCACCACAACCATCGTATCTGACAGTGGTGGTCGTTGGCTTGTTCGCTGAGCTGGGCAATTTGATTGTAAATAAATCATCACTAATCGAGGTGATAACATCAGTCCTATATGCCAGCAAACATTCATGAAATAACGTGGCATGATGCTGGTCATCAGCGAGGTGTTGATACCTAATTCCAAGAAAAGGGTTTGGAAATGGGTAGAGTAAAGTCCAACTGGCTCTGTGCGCTAAAATGTTGTCGAATGGAAAGGTGGCCCATTAATTCTACGTCCCGCACTTAGCTGAGGCAACTGGCAATGGAAACAGTACAGCAAATAATAAAGCAATTCGCTGAGCGGGCAATTTGATTGTAAATGTTTCATCACTAATCGAGGTGATAACATCAGTCCTATATGCCAGCAAACATTCATGAAATAACGTGGCATGATGCTGGTCATCAGCGAGGTGTTGATACCTAATTCCAAGAAAAGGGTTTGGAAATGGGTAGAGTAAAGTCCAACTGGCTCTGTGCGCTAAAATGTTGTCGAATGGAAAGGTGGCCCATTAATTCTACGTCCCGCACTTAGCTGAGGCAACTGGCAATGGAAACAGTACAGCAAATAATAAAGCAAGATTAGACCGTTTTACGCTTACGCCTCAGTGGTACATACCCTCCCCAGAACTTTACTTTTGTCATTCTGATACATCCACTCCAACCAAGATAGGTTGTCAGTTCAGATCTGGCAACTGATACGTTTGAAAGGAAATCCCTAAACCAGCGGGAGAGAATGGTTGAGGTAGCAACCGGAAGAGGGAGTGTTTTGGTCGCAGCTACAGTGGCTGTTTGCCTGCTGACTCGGCCTTTTGGTAACTGAGCAACAAAATGGCTCACTTACGTAGTCACATGGTGCAGTGCAGCGGAAAGCTGAAACACTGTTTGATGATCAAAAGGGCGAATACGGTGCTTCTCTTGCCACAGCACCTTGGTCCTGTGGTATATTTTGTGCAAGAAATTGAAGGCTTCGTCTGGCTCCACCAATTTTTCTGTAAACTTTTCCAAAAATGTTCTGTCCCATTGTTTTAATACGCCATCTATGTTGACAACTACCTTGAACACCAATTTATAGGTTGCAAACCGATGACGCGCACCGGCTTTTGCGTGGGGGATAACGCATTTTCGTTCACCGAGCTTAAAGGTCGAACGTATCCCAGCATAACTTCAAAAGGAGCCATCGAAAGTTTAATGAAATGGTATTGAAACTGTTATCTTCGGAAGAGAATATTCAGGATGTGCCAATAAACTAGGTCAATGAAAGGTCGCCTGCACGCTCGAACTTTCAGCTTTGACGAAAACTTCAAGCTGTATGACCATAATATATTCATTGGGGTATAGTTGGTTTATTCTATCATAAAGTGTGCAAGTGTTTACTCAAGTCACCGGGAGTTGTTCGTGCACTGAAAGAAGATGGGTTAGCAGGTTTGTTTATCCACTTTTCAAGTGAACTTCGGTACGTAAGTTCCAGAATACAGGCAATTATTAGTGGAGAAAGTTCCATGTGGATCAACAGAGATGACAATCTGCAGTAAAATAAAGGCTTTGACGGCGCGCGAAAACGGCATGATAAAGAAATGTTACGACGATGTGATTCAGTCAGTTCTAGTGTCTGATGAACTCAGAAAAGTGAGTGGAAATGATTTGATGTAGTTTTGCCTCAAAAGTTTTTCCTAGATGAAGAACATTATCCTTTTTCGGAAGTCAGTGCGGCCCAACGAGCCGAGTTTCTTTTCAGGCTATTTGCCCACGTATGCATCGGTGGTGAATTGTGCCAGAGTGAAGAAAATATTGACGTGTACATTGAGTTCACTCGGAAGCTGTATAGAGATTTATTGAGGTATTGCTACTGTTGTTTATCTTGCACGATAGTTGTCCCATTTTGATAGTATCCTACCTGTTTTATCCCAAATCTTTGATGAGTAACCATTGTAATGGAATAAACATTTATGACTTGAGGGTTTTCACTCACATAAACTGGAACTCTCTCGCTATTTGTTATCGACCACGGTACCGGCCTTGCGTCTGCCGCCTGCCAGGGCACGGCAACTCAGTATATCGTTTTGGGAGAGGTAAATAACAAAGACGTTTTGAGCTCAGCCTTAAAATATTTCAAATTTCAACACGTGTGAAACCTGTCATGAAAATACTTGCATATACGATTGTATCTGAAATTTGGTTGGCAGACGTGTCGGAGGAAAATTTTATTGTGTGTTCTGCTTTGTTAATGCCTAATATGTCTACCGAAAATTGCTCAAACAGAACAACAATTTATTCAGATTGACAGCACGGTTACTTAAACGATCTTTCAGCTGCGATTATGTTGATTAGTCCGCAGGGAAAGAGCAGACAGTATATTGAAGTTCCCCTGTTGTTGGGGCTCAGCAGCAGTCTGAGTAGGTGAACCTGCAAACACGTCAGACGTTTGGAGTTCAAATCCGCACGGCCACATATATGCACTGCTGGCGAGCTCTAACAAGAATGAAAATTGAGTCTTGTGCTTTTTCACCTATAGGGTGGACAAATGACAATGACAAGAAGACGACTGTTTAGAAAACTGCGATGTGAAGGTGGATTCTAGAAACAACGCAACCATTTTCAATGAATGCATAAAAATTCATAATAACTGAACTAAATGATGGGCTATTAATGTTTGGAAACAATGGCATCAGCTGTCTTTTTTGGTAAATCAAACCTTGGTAGAATGTTCAATTGCTTACTTTTATCGAGCAGTGGAAGCCATGAAGAACAAAATTTTTGAGCCTGTGGCCCTACAGAATTAAAATGTAACCATTTTTATGCAAGCAACGCAATAGCTTTTTGAAAAAGAGGTAAAATTATTAGCCATTAACACAAGTGCTTCCTCGTAAGGTGATCCAAATAAGACTGCCTTTTATATCAGATACATCATTCAGGTGTGACCGATAAGATTTTCGAAAAATTTGAGATATGTGCCTGGAGAACAAGGCTTCTTAGTGAAAATGATCTCATGATACAAAATCATCAAATGTTTGGCTCAAATTTAGTAGGAACTCTACGTGCAAGATCTCATCAGTATAGACGTGGGCGGAATTTTAGATAGCCTGACTCCTAATTGTTGAGCCATTGGAATATTTGGATACTGTTTCAAGGCCAAAGGGCTTATTGAAAAAAACTATTATTTTAAATAGTATATAGTTTTTGGGAAAGGCCGTCTGTTATTTCCCCGACCGAGTAAGACAAAAACCCTCTTTACTTAACGACAAGTAGTCATCGAGTGCATTGTTGTAATAGGCTAGAAGTTTTTCCTTTTCTTTAGTTGTTTGGGGGTCTCCAACAACTTTAAGTTTCCTCGGAGAACACATACATATAAGACACTCAAGGAACGCCTAAAGGGTGGCCAATATAGGGCTTTAACATGCCTCACATTCTAGTTCGTTCTGCGGTAGTCTTCCTAGTTTCGCCAGTACAAAAAACTTTTGGAAGAAAGTATATCTGAATGGATCGGTACTAAAAAAATACCAGTTGCAAAGTGGTTTGGAGTTAATGAACAAGAAAAAGATGGACAGATATTTTCATTGCTGTCTGCAATCTTATTCACACTGTGGGTGATGTTCTGGGGACCGATATAATCACTCAAGCGGAAATGGGACAGACAATTGTCTACCGTATCTTTTGCACGTTAGCGGTGATAAAAATTCCGAGGAATTAAAGATGTGAGCTAAAGGTAAACACAATCATTTTGGTAGATGCTGGTTTAAGACGGTGTACCGCTGTCCTGGGGATCCTGGTGCCGATTTCAGCGACAGCGTACATTGGATTACCCATAGTGCTGCAAAACACGACGGCAAATTCAACGCTGAGTTTCATATTTGGCCTTTTTAGGATGACAGGGTTCTTCAGGATACCAGAGTCATTTTGAGTTAAAATGGTGAGAACGTTACAGGATGTGACGCACACCCAATGTGCCCTGAACGAGGGTGATGGGAGCCAAATAGGTGCAACCAGACAAATCAATTGATCAAGGTGCGCTTAGGTGTAGCAAGTAGGGGGATAATGAAATGGTGGTAGTATCGTACATTGTTAGGTGTATCAATTGGCTTTCTAAGATATCTAAGTTGGGTTGCCTGAGGTTCATTTTTATGGACCCTGTAGAATGTGTACCAGATGTGCAAAAAATCACTTGTGAATTGTGTTGCCAATTTCCGTTATTTCGTACAAATATGCGCACTGAAGAAAAGTAGTCGGAATGAAGTTCGTGCAGATAGGTAAACAACTAGCGTTGAGTTGAATGCGTGGTGCCTTGATATCAGGAAATGCTATATATAAACCTTTGTCTTCTAGTTCACCGTCAGATAAGCGTTGTTAGACGTACGCCATTCAGTTGACGAAATCAGTTTCGCCAAATTTCTTTCAGCATGTCATTAAAAAACGTTGAAATGTTGGTTCTTGATGCAGTCAGAAAAAAGTAGTGTCATACAAGGAAACGTGACAATCTCTTTCGTTAGGTTCTTGAATAAAAGAACTTTAAATACGTGCGCAAAGATGTGATGTCTTGGTACTGTTGGTAAAAGTGTTTTCAAAAGTAAATGCCGCAAAGTGTGTGGCTGGTCATCTAAGCGAGCGCTGATTGTGCATATTTAGGAATACAAGCAGTTTGTCACAGGAGTGAGACTCACCAATTTATTGGGATCTAACGAGACGGTTTGCGTAAATTTTGGCTGATGCTATTTCGATCAGAAAAAGTTCGACATCCGGTAAGTTGCAAAAGGTTGGTGTTGTGTCAGAAGTGGTAAAAATAGGATTATAGGTTATCATGAAGATTCACAAGTGGACTCCGTTGATTGTTCTGATGGAGAGACCAACTGTATGAGAGTTGAAAATAGTTGATTACTGCTCTCTGATATAATAACAGTCGTAAGCACGACTCCTTCTATGTATTTATGCTTCAGGAAGAAAGTTTAGATACGAACATACACTACGCACAAAAAAATCCACTTAAACCAGCTTTTTCATTTTACATCCCATCAATTCATTAGAAGGATAGGTTCTTAAAGATATATCTTTAATCATTTTTATTTAGGGTAAGGCAGAAGATGGGTCTGATATTAAAACACTTATCTTTGCAATTTCTTTCTTTCAATGCCCAGCGTACAGAAAAACCCTGACACAAAGGAGTTGCAGATTGTATCGTTAGTCTACAAAGTAGAACTTGAGGTAAGCAGAACCACACATTTTTTGTGGTTATACTGAAAACACCGTGGATTGTTTTGATTATCTAAAAATTTCAATCATACCTAGTTTCGCTTGTAAAATGGTCATCTGTTTGTTAGTAACTTGTATTTGATTGGCTTGCTAGTTTAGACTGTATAGCTTAACACGATTTATCTTCAGCCAGTTGAGCGACATTGTTACTTCTAATTATTTCAATTGCTTCTATCCGACACAAACTGCGCAACTTCACAACATCAAATGTTTCCTGAGTGACTACAGTTTTCAACCTATTAGTTGAAAAAAGAACCGCACTATAATCTCAAAGTCTACAATACAAATTAGCATAATAAGTGAAGTGATAATGATACTTGTAATAAAGGTAACGTAAAATTGCTCTCAAATTTCTATTTTAACCCGAGAAAATTTATGTTATGCCCGTCGGCTGAGAAAAACAGACCAAACTATTCAAAACCAGTCAAAATCTCATACGTGTTTGTACTTAATGAACAAATTTTGTTAATCTTTGGGTCATTTCCGACGTGGCTGATATGGTACCGGATGTTAGCTGGTGCAATTTTGCTTGGCTTGGATATAAATAATAGCGTCCTGTTTCAATTTATGCCTTAAGGTCAAACACTGTGTGCAACATTTGCTAAAAGCCGAACTCACGATAAACAGCAGTCTTATAGAGTTTCTGAGAAGCAAGTTAAAGTTTGTTCCCCTGACAGAGAAAGCCACTACCGATCGAAAAAGCGGAAAGTTCCACTCAATAAATTTGCTGTGCAACTGTTCGTATTTCCACCGTAAATGTAACCAGTTCTTTGCGCCTTTTAGTTTTGGCAAACAGCATCACCTAAGTTTCTGGTTTGTGTTCAAACAGAAGGGAATTCTGAAATAACCGAAACAGACCCAGGTAATGCGCGAGTCATTTTAAGTACCATGTGGTTTGTATGGATTTGTGGGTCAGGATTATTCGAGGTTTCAAAAGGCTGTCGCCTGTTACCCCATGCGATGGTTTTGCCATGCTGTACTTGTGAGATGAAAATGCTCGGCCATGCGAAATTGGTTACTTTTGGTGACGAGCTATTGTTGAGGTTGGTATACATTGCAATCAAAGAAAAATCTTCTCAATGCAACTTGCAAGTCAGCAGACCGTTCCTGCCATAGAATGAGTCACGAAAACGCAAAAAGAGATTTCACTAACCTACTGTCTTGAAACAAATGCTAGATAAGATTTTAGGTTTGCCATTTGGTGGCGCATTACAACGTAGAACTAATATGACAGCAATGGGGAAACTCCTAAATAATCCAGGAGCACTTTTGTCGATCTTTCCGCCTCAACGCTTAGTGGAATGCAGGTGGGTGTAAAACAAAGAGCATAGAGCGGGTTAATTGTTATGGCGGGCGGCTTCAGAAGTATATCTGATGCGGTGTGTTGCAGCACAGAACCTAAACTACGGCATTCATATATCATTCTGTAGCCAATTAGCCAGTCGTGTGCCTTTGAATTCCCAAACAAAACAATTGGTATTACCTGAAGTTAACGACACTCCTCACTATTTGCTATTAAGGATATAAGTATGGAAGTCAGCCTCCCTCAATAAGTTTTACGATGCATTGTAGACGAAATTAGTGGCAGGTGACGTCCAGGGACGATGGATGCTGTGTGTCTCTGAACCAGTTCGAACAACTGGGCAATGCTTACCGACAGTGGTCAGAGATCAGCATCGATAAATTGCGGATGGAATAATTGGCAATGCTTGTAGACAAAATATAGTCATTTTTGTGCTATTGGGGAACTTTAAAACCCCCTTCCCACCGGCACACTATTGGAAGACTACTTTTGCTATCAACCCGAGTTAGTTTAGGATAATACGTTAATCAAACTTCAAAAGGTTTGAGTGACGACCTTGAAACCTCATGTTTACCAACTATTAAATTCACCGTATATGCCTACAAACAAGTAATACAAGAACGTTCTACGGAGCTTCAAAAAATGCTACCATTTTACTCCATTAAAGATGAAACAGCTCTCAACTATTTCACCGACTATACAGGGGCGGAAATTTCTTTGTTTTACCCAATTTGGTGACTGTGCTCCAAAGAAACCTGAGATCTACGTGATTAACCGGTCTGAACCTTGTATAAAGTTTGTTTGCTTTATCATTCTTCATCTGGCATGAGTGATAAGATCAAGATAATCATTATTTTGATACGCTTACACTTAATCCAGTCGGTATTGCTCATCATACTGAATGTTTACGCAGCTCCTCAGATCTGCTTCACAGGTGAAGCCCTAACTGAAGATGGTTTTGTATTCAAGCTTACTTGTTCTATTAGCGTAGTTTTAAAGAAGTACATTGTGTATGAACAAAGTTTATTTTCTAAAAAAGCAACGGATTTTTTTAGAAGTGAGACTTTTTCAAAGTGAATTAAAAATGAAATTTTCAATAGCTTGCGAGAACTGTAGACAACTGGGACTGCTTCTTGCGTGTTTTGTGATTCAGTATATTCAGAATACTTCGAATCCTGCGCATTAGATGGGCGGATATTTTTATAATGCTTTTGTTTGATAAGCAGCGTTAGGGATTGAAGCTTAGCGTGATTAACAAGACAAAAATGACAGCGAGAGTAGCAATGTCCAAAACAAAATGGGAAGCGATGGTGGCCACGTTCTGCTTTCTTGCGGGGCACGCAGTGTTTGAGACGTCACATTGTCCAATGCGGTTAAAACTTAGTAAGATCCCGGTGTGGCTCCGAACGCATCTGTTATGTGATCAGCATTGCTGCTTGCACTCTCTTGTTTAAACGCTATCAAGCCAGCCAGAGCACTAATCCATGGGTACCGAGCAGTGTCTCGCAATTAGATCCAAGTGTCTGCTGACATATAGGGATTTACAGCCAAACCCTTACAATAAGTCACCCCAAGATTCATAGAGACTAGATACTCAGGTGGATTCTAGATTAGTATCCCGTCAAAACCAGATTGGATTGCAAATGAGTGTATGTCGCTAAAACAAATTGACTTTCTGGCCTTTGGCAACCCAGAAATGTCAGTTGCCCTTGCAGCTATTGGTTCACCAGCGCTCGTCTTCTTCACCCCCAGTTGTTTCAATCTGACCATTGTCTGCGGTAGTAAACCAACCAGTTGTAGTAAACCAAGATGGCTTCTTACTAAACTCAAGAGTGTGAATCCACATTACACTATTAAACGTTATTACTCTCTGCCAAGCGAGCAGCACTTTTACTTTGCTGAGGCTCTGCTTTTCCTCTCTGTCAATATATGCTGTTTCTTCGAACAACACACACAAGTCTCCATTTTGGTCTGGTCCCTTAAGGGTATTTGGTGAACGCGAAATTTTAATAGACTCAGTCAGTTTATTAAAAAATCAGTGGACTTCAGCACAATTAAACCTAATGTTCCACAAGGAAACGAATGCACAAGAAACACGGAGGGCACTATTTCTGGCCAGTCAAGTAGTCGAACATAAGGGACTGACAATGTGTGACTTGACAGAGTGGATTGAAGTTTATGTAAGCCTTCTCGGCTGTTTATAAAATCTACCTAGAATGGTAGATCTGCGTAACCTAACTCCATGATTGAATTTAATTTACAAAGACCGATGTTACGAACGTTTGTTCTTTCAGTTCATATCCAGGGGTACCATTTGAGTGGAGAGAATCGGAGTGTCTCTATTCTCTATATTTAGACAAATGCTAGATTTCTTTATCTCCCACAGTGTTTCTTTTTTCATCTTTATTGGGTCTAATTCAGGCGGACTGATGTTTTTTATGCGAGTAAAAAATCAATATGAAAATAATACGGTATAAAAGGAATTCTGCTGGGATTCAATTTAGTACGCCGTTATCACCAGCACATTACTTTTACGTAAATTTCGGTTTTTGAGTAGTAAATAAGATTGGGAAATACACGGGGATCCGTCCCAAAAAAGATGAAATCAGTAAAGGATGATGGGAGGGTTTCCATAGACTTTTAGGTAGCGCCATATGATTATCGGTAAAGAGTTTGAAAAGACTGAATTTCATAATAAGTTTTCGCACTAACGTTTCCTGCTGTCCAAAGACTGTAAGAATCATCTATCTGTAGGTTAACAACTCCACCTGGTTGAGCTTTTGACGTTCTGATAAACTGCTGATTTTCATTATAAGCAGTTCAATTAACAAAGACATTTTGGGCTGAGTCAATGTGGTCATTCTTAATATTACTTATAAGGGCTTTGGATCGGTTTCAATTTTCCGTTCTTTTTCCAGGATGACACAGGTGTGGTTTTTCCATCGACAGTACGGCATCCCAACACATTCTTCTACGCCATCGTCGATCCCTTCAAAAGGAATGTTATTCTACTGTACCATATATTTGGATGTGGTGACTTCTAAACGTGTTTGAATTAAAACCTGCAACCATAAATTCAAAAATTTTGTCTGTTCTCAGTTCAGGAATTACGCTGAAAAGAAATCCCTACACATTCGGACTCGGTTACTAAAATCATGAGGTGCAGTGCTAGTGACCGATGAGATGAAAGCGTTCACAACGTCACTGGGCTTTCGGAGTTGCCTAACAGAATGCTTCACTACAAGGCAGACTTACTGGGTACATTTCCAGTAGCGTGAGACATACGTACACAGAGAAAATACACCGTGACAAGCAGACGCTAAAGTTGATCATTCGGTCCTAGAAATAACATCCTGTTATTTTGCTTGTATAAAGTTTTTCAGTTCAGAGGACACTATTTCGAGCATAATAAATCTCCTACGATAAATGTGTATATATCTAACACTACTGTAGTAAGCGCTTAAATGAATAACGTGATTGCCTTCAATTCACTGTTGACTTGCTCTTACTTCTGGCCACTCAGGTAAGGAAGGCGCATTTCATGATTGGCAAATGATCTGACTGCTTCGTTAAGACGTACAGTTCATGACCAATTGTTACATCTTTTTAAAACGTTCCAAAGATGGTGAGGTTTCCATCTGTAAAATTTATTAGAAAAATTAATCGTTCACCTGCGAATTCCCTTAAATACATACCTTCTGTGCAGCCCGAATGAAGCTGGAGGGCTGGGTTACCTAAAACTAGAAAGCGCCAATCGAATATCCGAATTTCGGATATTCGGAAGCCTCATACCGTGACTGCTTCAATTCCTCCAGCAAGATGAATTTCGCGACATTACCTAAGCTGTTGAGGACGACCTGGATTATTGTGAGAAGTGAATGAAGCAACGCTAGATGTTGGAGACACTTGTTCAGAAATGTTTTGTTGTGGCACAAGGCTGAAAAATGAAGCTGTCGATAAACATACATTGGAATTCCAAAATTCAAATGACATCTCATGCTGTCCGCATAACAAGGCAGGAAATTTTAAAATTTCACTCAGTATTACTTTACCACTGTGTGGCTGTCACATCAGGTCATTGTTTCTCTTGCAATCCATCTGAATGCCGAATAAAATTTAATGAAATATAACTGTTCGGTAAGTAGGAGACATGCCCGGGGGTAGACATGTTTATCAGGATATCTACTGACAACTGTCACTATTCAGGAGAAGTTGACAACCATGTCACTCTATCGACAGCTCTTAGGCTTTTTGACAGTTAAAACTGGCATTACAATTTGGAAGTTCTGAAGATTCTTCTCCCCAGGGACCGTTTCCGGTGGACGCTGTTGTGTATCAAGTGTTTACACCTAAAATTTATTTGAAAAAAGACATTTCTGCGATAAGGCATGCATGCAGCAGTTAGTCACGGTTTGCGTGCGCCATACAAGAACGCCTCTGACATAATGCAACTTCATCTGCATACCAAACTGGTTTTCACGGTAGACTCACATGAATCTCACTCATCTATGGTGTTCTTAAGTAAACGTAATTCGAGAGGACACTTGAGTGCCTGTTCTCAACAGCACAAACTGACGTTGGCGTCCTCGGTAGACCGACCGTTAGCAGACTAGAGGATGTCAAGCCTGTAACACTGCACATAGTGTACAACCAACTTAAAGATAAGCACACAGCACTCTCCTGTCAATTCGGGATATACGAAAACATTTTGCAACCAAATAGCTCAATCGCACCATATTCGTAGGAGTGGCGAAAAATTCGCTAAGCGGGACTTCCAATGCACCCGAACGTTAATATTACCAATTCTCTCCACTATGCTACAACATTATACTTGGCTGGAATACCTGAACCTATCCGATGGTGAGAAGCCTAGTGACGAACAAGAAGTCTGCGCGACACATTTCATTTAGAGGATATAGTGAGACAAAGCACTTTCAGCCATGGAATCATGCATCACTTGTTCACAAATATTTCCGTCATAAAGCTTTGAACTACCCATAAAAGATTGAAAGAGATTCCATGTGCGTAGCAACAGACAAACTAAAGAACGATCTCATTTCTCAATTTTAATGTATAGTGCTGCTTCAATACATTATTGCCAAACGGAGTATCCATCAGGCTACTGCCAGATCCACTGTGAGTTGTTATCTGCAAGGCTAAAATTGAGAAGGAAGAACTGACGTAAGATATACTAAAATCCTCACATTATCATAGACATGGTGACGAGATATCTTGCATTGTTGACAAGGGATACCCTAAACCGATCCAATACCTGTAGTACGGCCACAAGTCCCAGCATCATTTGGAAGAGAAGGATCGGATTTCCTTTCTAAGCTTACTAAGTACCGGACGAACCGTTGGCTGCATTTCATTGAAATGTTTACCACAAGACAAACAAGGGTATATAATATACGAAGCTTCACAGTTTTCCAGCTCTTTTGTCCCTTGTCAGCTGTCTCACTTCAGGATATAGAAAATTATGCTCCCAAGATATACTAGAACCAAAATGTAGGCAACTAGAAACACTGAAAAACATAGTTAGGCTGACTGATTTGTTCCGCACAGTGTACATAACAAAACCGAAAAATAGCCAAAAACAGCATGGTACTTTGAAGTACCTTTAAAAAATGACTCGATAACGCGCATGTTGACCAGAGGTCTTTCCACAGCGGTTAGACCCATTTTAAGCTAGCCTAAATTTCTCAACTTCACCTCACTACACCTGCAGAACCATCTGTCAGTGTAGAACTCGTCTTTGATTTTTGTGATCTCGAGTACACGTGTGGCACGTCTTGTGTCGCGGTAGCTGTCGGAGCTGACCATTGAAAGTCGCCCTAATTGCTTGATCATGGGATATAGAGGCACAATCGAAAACGCTGTTTCAGCCCACCTGGTCGAAACTGGCTGCATCGTTAATCGGGGAACGGCATTTCAGTTTATGTACCATGTGTCACAAAGCCACTCAAGGGCAGCCTGACTGCGTAATTTTGCAGTCACGAAGCCCACTATCACCTCTGCTTACAGACCCAAACGTTGGTCATACAGTACATGCCAGACGACAGGGATAAAAATATCGTCGAAGAGCCACAAAATAAAGGGTGTAGCCAACCAGAATACCCCTGCGCAAACAATCGCAAAGCAGATATAGGAAACTCCGACCCACCTTTGTTGATTCTACTACACCTACCAAGAAGGTCATCGAGTCCAATCGGAAAATAATGTGGATCCTGACCCTTGATGGCAAGAAGTGGCTAGCACGATTCTGTAAGAAGGAAAAAAACAGTCATTCAAACCGAACAGGTTGATAGGAAACTGGATCTTCTAGCAGGATCAAACGAAGATCCAGCGGAGCTAATTTCACTGGGTGTGAAATTCGGTGGTCAAGCTCATTAGTAGCATGCCGCAACTAACAAACAACGACTTAAATATTCAACCAACTGTAATAACCGTCGAAAAAAGAAACGCCGACAAAAAGGAAAAACTTAGCTAGCAGCAACTCTAAGTGCACGAGCACAATAATCCTCAACCCTTTCGCTATGATGCATCGCGAAACAGTGACGAGCCACAACGCAGTTACACACTGATTGTGCCACTTTGGTTGATGACGGAAAGTTTGCAGTGAATATTTCACACTCATCAAGCATTTAGGACATGATATTTCCAAATGCCATTACCTCCATATAAAGCAGAAAGTTATTATTTGGATCTCATTTGTAAAGAACTCCATAACCGACTGTGTATCACCGCTTTACGTAAGTCATTTGTCATCACCGGCGAATGTTGCCCTGAATATGTTACACGGTCAAAATATATAATATGGCGGTATATGTATTTATTGTATTTGTACAATATCTGCAAAACGTCTCCGTCGACTGGGGTACACCGTCTTCGAGGAGTTGAGAACCCCTACTTCTACGTCGTTCATCAAACCTGACCTAATCGCTGTTCGAGATCGCCGTGCAACCGTAATAGACGTTAGCATAGTCTCGGATGGGCGTGGAGAGATAGTGTGGAATGAGAAGAAGCAGAAGTATGGTGCTGATGAACATTCCCTCGCCATAATCTCAGCCCTACATGCCATCGGTTGTGATATCGACTTTTTGGTTCACCAACCGGTGATCATCTCCTATCGAGGGATCTGCTTTCCTCAATCCGCTAAGGCTGTTATCGGACTGGGACTTCCTAAGGTCGCAGTCAGTGACTTGTGTTTGCTTGCCATTGTGGGCTCCCTGCGTACTCATGACACTTTTATGCGTGGCACATGGCGTTGAAGGTACATTTTTGCCATTTAATCTCACACCAGACCCAGTATGACGGTCACTTTGTGCCTGATGTGCGAGTCTTGACTGTGCTAGCGCACACTGCGCCTTGAAGAGCATTCACCATTGTTTGTCCTTTCTTTGGTTGTTGGTCCTTAGACGCGTGTTCCCATACCAAAATCTTTACATACTTTGGGATTCACCTCATCAGACTGGCACTGTCCTTGGCATGATTTCGAATGAGACGTTTCTCTCTTTTCTCCCATATTCTCCTGTTACTCTTTCGCATTCATCGCTTGCATTCACTTTTTATGTTTGTGACCATGCTCTTCAAAAATAAATGATAATGACTATCACCGCTGTGTCTGCAAACACTTTGGGTGTCCTAAATGGGTGCACGCGTTTTGGGGTGCTTGCTGTTTGGGCGTTATAGGTTTCCTTGTTAAGCACCCGATACATAGAACATTTACTACTAGACGGTAAGGCAGTGTTGACAGATAGCCTTCTTTCGGGAGCATTGGAATATCATAATCTGCGTTAGTTAGTTACAAAGAATTTAAACAGAATGGTGAAACTGAATACCAACCACATCCGTCGACTCCAGCTAGCAGTTACCGACTACCAGGGCAACACACAATTTTTAAGCGTAAGTGAAATGCAGAACACTCAATTATGGCGGTGAATTCAAGATCATAAATTAGATTCACAATGATAGGGCAACAGGACCTGTGACGAACGACTATGTCACTACATGGGAAGAAATCTGCTGCCCACCAGGCGTGAACCATTTGGCGCAACTTTAAATGGTTCGACAATGGAGAAGGACTGGAGCAAGTTTTACGGGCGAATCACTTAGCCTCCAGGCTCAAGTTTAGAAAGCAATTCCGTCTTCCCAGCTAACGTTCCAAACACTGTAAATTCCAAACT